CCAATTTTTAAAGGATAATTTCACCTTTCGTAACATGTTACATGCTACACCAACATTCAGGGTGTAACATGTTATGAATGCACCAGCCCCCACTTTGACAGGTAGCGGGGATCTATTCTCCCCCTACTCACTGTCAAATTTAAAAAAAAAACGTGGCTGGAGTCACTCATTCACAGTCCTATGTGAATGATAAACTACAAGTCCCATATCCTTAGTGGCTGTCGGCTTGTAGTTCTCAATGAACCACCATGTTACTATGGAGCACCGTGGCAGTTCATTGATTCTTTCGGTTAGTATATCTGCTTGCTTGTACATCCTGTACAGGCAAGCAGATATACTGACAGATCTGCAGGAGACCTGCATGGCACCAACTTTCTGCCGATCGCTGGTGCAATGGTTTCCATGCTCCTGCAACCATAAATTACAAATACACATTTTTTACCTGCCAAAAAATGTGCATTTATTATTTCTGGTAAAAAGGTGAACTTACCTTTAAGACAATAACAGTTAACTTTTCTTCTCCTAATTGTATTGGAATTTCACTTCAGTTCATTTTTTTTTAATTCAAGTTATTAAGGACACAGCAATTTCAAAGTCTACAAAATGATTTTTTGGCAACAACTACTAAAAGAACAAAAAAAAACTAAAATAATTTCAGTAGGTGAAAATAACTGGTGTAAGGTGTTAGGGTAATGCTGTGCGCTGTCCATTGTGCTGAAAACACAGGTTCAGCACTTGGAATATTGAATTAATCTTTTCTCATGCAGGCTGCCGTTCTTGGCCTCTCATTCTGCAAATGTTAGTTGCCTGCTTCTTTTTTTTTTTTTTTTCAATAGTTTGTTTCTTTAATGCAGAAGAGGTATCCAGATAAGGATCTCTCATTTTTTGATTTTTTATTAAACTGCATACTTTTGAACTGCATACTCAGTGACTCAAAAAGCACTGAAGTCAGTAGGGTCAGCACAATGGTCAAAAAACTAGGTCAGTAATCGCAGTCCTTATATTTCTGTCTAACAAGATTAAATAAAAAAAGAGCTATATTTAATTTCCATCCCCAGACACCAGCATATCACAGCAGACTGAAGGGGGGGGGGGGGCAGTTATCCTTTTGGTAGCAAACACATAGTCCCTTGCTCTGCTTATATCATCCTACATGCACTTCTGCAGCAGGTGGTGCTTCAAGAGTGACCCCCTCCCAAAAATCAAATGGTCACCCCTCCACACCACATCTGTATGCTGATAGCCGTAAGGCACTGTAGTACTCTTGGTGTCCCGAAGGGGATGTTGGCATCGGGTGCTTTATGTTGAATTTCCCATCCACCACAAAGTGGATCTGTGACATACTGTACGTGATCAGTGGTGTAGACCGTGGCAGAATGCAATCTTCTATCCAATGCATAGAATATTTCCAAATGATTTTGATTGTGCTCAATCAATAGAAATGTTTAGAATGACAGTGGTTTTTTTTTTCACAATGAGCAGTGAATCAATGCACATTTCAAACAGGATTCATTAACTTTCTTGCAATAATTTTTTTTAAATTACAGGAAGACATTGGAAATATACTGTAAAGTAAGACATTTCTTATTGCTAATATTAAGCCCCATGTATACATTGTAATCACATTACTGACATACACATCTGTGCTGCTGGAACACTTTATCAAATGGGATACATTAATGGGCAATTAAAGTGTTAATAAACCCTGGACCTTGCATTCACTATATCTGGTTTCCCACAGGACACAGAACATGGAAATGCAATTATCATAGTAAATATAAACTGCTAAATACATTTTCTCATCAGCAGTTACAGCGGTCTTGTGACTTCTATCAGTGTCCAGCCAAGCAACTGGTTAAAGCTTGTAGGAGGAGTTTTCACTTAGCTCTATGAGGATGCTGAACCCCTGACCACTGTCTGGACAGTGCTGATTGGCCCTGTGCTGATCACATGCACCCCCCCCCCCCCCCCAAAAAAAAAAAAAAAACCTTTCTAGCAATACACCCCAAAACTGAGCATGTGCACAGTGATTCCACACAGTATGACTTATCAGGACATAAGAGGGGTACAATGGAAGAAGGGGAGGATCAGAGAAGTCAGGATCAAACATCCTTTTTACACAATGCAGTGGATTAACCCCTTAAGTTCCACAGTAAGTATAACAAGCATGATTTACTGCATATACAGACTGACTTTACTGTTGTGGGTTGAATAACACTTTAAATCTAAATAGAAATGATTTACATAGGTGTGCAAATATCAATACTATTCACAGATATGACTAGGTGGTCCTGCCTGTGCTGAAGGTATGCATTTATTATGTAGTATGGAGCATTTGTTATTATTGTACTCCCCGTTACACCTCATGGCTCATTTTATTACCTCCCAGGATGCAGATATGTATCATTTATTATTTTTGATTCTCCAGCATTCTTTCTTATTGTTATCACACTGAAAAATCCATGAATGTTTTAAGAACTTCAGATTGTTCACATCACATATTTACAGGTACATCTTTATCTGAAACCATGAATATCCAGCCTATTACATCAATCAAAATGTATTTTTTGTTTCCTAGTTATGTACTTGGGAAGAACAATAGAAGCACTGAAGCAAAACAATTACAGACTGTGAACAGTACAGTTTAGTGCATCACTTGTTTTATCTTCCTCTCTTTCAGTGGGATGCCCTGTAACTAGACTATATAATATACATGTATCATAGTTTGCAGTAAAAAGCACATCTGGACTCTGACTGCTACGAGGTGACAGTAACCTTCACCAATTTAATGGAAGAGTCCCAATGATATCTGAAAAACTGGAGCAACATTTCTTTCATTCAAACACGGGTTGCAGGAAAGAAAAATCACTCCATTCCCCCATCAACCCAGTCAGAGTTGATGGGGGAATCCCATCTGCCGTCATATTGTATTCTGACAGTGGGAGGTTTCCCAGCCGTCAGAATACAATGATCACCACTGGTGGCTATAGCCTTCAGCAATATTACAAGTATCCTCCTGCGCTCAATACAGGCAAGGTCCCTATCTCAACAGCTGCTGTCACTCTACCTTAACCATTAAGTAACCCAATATATACAAAAAATAGTGAAGCGCTTAATAAATAAACATATATAACTATATATATCAAAGTGCCATTAGTGAACATACGTGCTACGTGTTAATAATTCCTTATTAAATGCTGAAGCATTTACAACCAAAGTTAAATTTAAAGTAATTAAACAAACCAAACTGAATTCCTAATTTATCAGTGATAATAAACACACCAGTGACAAATAATCTTATAACTCCAAGGGGTTCCTCAGTCTCCTTCACTGTTTTAAATGAAAAGTGCAATAATTAAAGGTGAACAAGTGTATACAAATAAACTTTTTTTAAAGTGCATATACAGAACATATATATATGTATAAATCATATATCATATATATATAAAAATAGATAAAAAAAGTCCATGCAAGTGTAGCTTGTGATAGAACAGTGATCTTCACTTCTAGTGCTCAAACACAAATCCTCAAATGGCAGCAGTGCCTGCTCACCTCCCCACACTGACCCTCAAGGGGCCAAAAGGCTACTGATCTCCTCTATGGCCAAACTTTCTCCTCCTCCTCTCGGTAGCTCAGCAGGTGATCACAGGGTCTCCACTTCTCCTCCACTCATATATCATATAGGACACAAAACAGAGCTTCCCATAGTGTAATATTGTTTAATGAAAGCCACTTCTAGTTACATAGCGGTTGTACTCACATTGGATTTCCTGTTACAAAAGCCTTCCACCTCATCCCATAGGTGTATCTTATGAACACAGGGGGAAACCAATATGGCCGCTCCGTTCGGACATGCGTCCCACGTGACCGGAAGTGACGTAGTTCCAAACCGGATATGGCGTACCGACGCGTTGCGTCACGTGCGTCGTGACTTCATCAGGGTTTGATATTAACACGTAGCACGTATATTCACTAATGGCACTTTGATATATATAGTTATATATGTTTATTTATTAAGCGCTTCACTATTTTTTGTATATATAGCCTTCAGCAGTGATCAAACAAAAATAACCAGGCAGGCTGGTTGTACTGAAGTCGATTGACTGACTCACTTCAGTACAACTTGCCTGCACAAAGATGGAACTAAATTCAGCCAGTTCCTGCTGAACCAACCAAATTTTGAACAGTCTATAGCCAGCTAGCCAATCACTCCATGTTACTGCAGTTGGTTCCAGTTTGCACAAATTAGCATGAACTAGGTTTCATCAGGTAAATAATGTAAAGTGTAGTAACTCAAAACAACTGCAAGCCAGTTTACTGTGGGCTGAACAAAAAAAAAATCAGTTGATTCCCTCATCGACTAGAGATAAGACAGAGCAAAAGCAAAGACTGGGGGGGGGGGGGGTGAGATGACAGTCACAAAGGGGGTCATAAAACTGTTGAATAATGAGTGTGAAAGCCCATGTCTAAATTTAGGCAGTTTTCTTTTGTATCAAATAGAAATATTATTCTTAGTTTAAAAGTCTTCCTTTCCTAAATAGTTTTGAAATTCCCTTAAAGAACTAAAATATTGAGGTCTTCCATAGTGTGGTCTGGTTATGAGAAATGGTGCCCCACAGGTGTGCACAACTCATCTTCTTTATGTTCCTTGATGGTATGTCTCAACTTCTGTCCTGTTTTTAGCGGTGCATGCCCCTGTTAACATCAACCAACTTGGAAAAAGGTGATTGATCAACCAACTTTTGACAAAGGAGCTGGGTGGAAAATTGGGGGCTGGATACTGCACCTTTTGGCTCCCTGGCACTAAAAAAAAATGCCAGGATTTGACGCTGATGGGCCACAACACCCATGTGCATGTAGCTTTAACTGCCTCCCGCCCACCATATAGTAAAATGACGGTCACAAGGCGGTTCTCTCATTCTAGGAGGACGTCATATGATGTTCTCCCATTCTAACTGCGCATGCGTGGCTCTGGGAGCACGCAGCGCGGCTTTCAGTGGTGTGCTGTGTCCCTCGGACACAGCGGATCACCGATCAACAGAAAGAGCCGAAGATGTCGGCTTGGTCATGTGATGAGCTGTGTCCAATCACAGCTGATCACATGTAAACAGGGAAATGCCGGTTATCGGCATTTCTCTCCCCACGAGCTGTCACGCTGACAGCTCGTGAGGAGAGTCAGTAATCGGCATTCCTCAGAGGGGACATGTACACAGATCATCAGAGCACTGATGATCAGTGTGCCCTGATGATCAGTGTAGCACCACCTGTCAGTGTCCATCAGTGCCAGCTCTCAGTGCTCATCCATGCCACCTGCCAGTGCCCATCAATGCCACATCTCAGTGCCCATCTGAGCTGCCTTTCAGTGTCGTCTATCAGTGCCAGTCAGTGCCGCCTATCAGTGTGCATCAGTGCCACCTAACAGTGCCAGTCAGTGCCGCCTATCAGTGCCATATATGAGTGCTGCCTTTCAGTGCCCATCAGTGATGCCTGTCAATGCCCATCAGTGCTACCTACCAGTGCCACCTATCAGTGTCCATCAGTGCAGCCTATCAGTGCCCATCAATGCAGCCTTATGAGCGCACATCAGTGAAGGAGAAAAAGCACTTATTTACAAAATTTTATAACAAAAACTAAGACAAATTTTTTTCCCAAAATTTTCAGTGCCCATCTGAGCTGCCTTTCAGTGCCGCCTATCAGTGCCAGTCAGTGCCGCCTATCAGTGTGCATCGGTGCCACCTAACAGTGCCAGTCAGTGCCGCCTATCAGTGCCATATATGAGTGCTGCCTTTCAGTGCCCATCAGTGATGCCTGTCAATGCCCATCAGTGTTACCTACCAGTGCCACCTATCAGTGTCCATCAGTGCAGCCTATCAGTGCCCATCAATGCAGCCTTATTAGCGCACATCAGTGAAGGAGAAAAAGCACTTATTTACAAAATTTTATAACAAAAACTAAGACAAAATGTTGTTTTTTTTCAAAATTTTCAGTGGTTTTTGGTTTAAGAAAAAATAAAAAACCCAGAGGTGATTAAATACCACCAAAATAAAGCTCTATCTGTCACACAAAAAAATGATAAAAATTTCATATGGGTACAGTGTTGCATGACTGGGCAATTGTCATTCAAAGTGCAACAGCGCTGAAAGCTGGAAATTGGCCTGGGCAGGAAGGGGGTATATGTGCTCTGTAGGCAAGTGGTTAAAGTAAAATTCCAGCTAAAGCCTAACTAGTCCAAAAGTGGTTTTAAACCAAAAAAAATAACTTATTTCAGCTTACCAATCATTAGATGTGGTAACTGCATTAGTTTTCCTTTCTTTGGCTTTTTGTCAATCGCCTGATCACCAGTAACATATCTCCTGTATTTGTAAGACACAACTCTAGATGAATGAACACAGGAGGCACAGCAGACAGCAGCATTGTCACTCTGTATTGGCAGATATCAATACACTAACTAAAGCCAATTTAAAAGCTCAACCTTTATATTCAGTTATAGCAGTTATAGCAGTTTTTTTTCTTTTGGGATAAAGACTTTACATAAATAAAAGCTGATCATTGCAAGCACCCCTGCCAGTGTTAAGTGGTTTGTCTCATCCATGTAAACTGATACATTCTGCTGGGGAGCATGTGCTTTTAAAAAACAAGATATTTGCTGCCTGGATCACCAGATAAACACAGAAGAAAGAAAGACTATAAAAGAAAATGAATGTAGCCATCGCATCTAAGAATTGGTAAGCTGCAATATAATACTTTTTTCTTTTTTCAAATTATAAACATCATACTTACCAGCTCTGTGCAATGGTTTTGCACAGAGCATCCCGATCCTCCTCTTCTGGGGTCCCCTAACAGTGTTCCTGGTTTTTCTTCCCTTCTGAATGCCCTCATAGTAACCCTCTTGCTATGGGGGCACTCGTGTCGGCTCGCTCCCAAGCCTGGCTATGTGTGTCCATGACTCTCACAGCATGGCTTAGCCCTGCCCCCCAACAGAATTTGATTGGCAGCAGCCACAGCTAATGGCTTTCACTGCTGCCTCCATGTCCAGTGAGGAGAGAGCTTCTGCTCAGGTAAGCAGTTTTCTAGGACACGTCACAGGTCTGTTTACGCTTAGGCTGCTAAAAACCATACCACATCCATTAACTATAAAACATCACACCCAAAGATATTTTTTTTTGGACTTTACTGGTACACAGAGGACTGACACATTTTTATAAAACAAATACATACAAAAAATGTATTACAATTAAAATCACAGATTAAAAACAATTCGAGAAAGTAGTCCCATTTATATCAAAAAAACTGGTGATAACCACATGTGCTATTCAACATTATCTATGCCTGCTACAACCCAAGAGGTCGACGCGTTTCTCATCATTTTGCTTCTTCAGGACCTTGTATTCTTGGAGGAAAGGAAGAATAGCCTGACTGAAAAAATATACATAATAAATATATGCATGTGTTGTGTAGAGCATTATCTAGATTAATAAACAGTAATAATCTGTGCAACTCCCATGTCACTTCTGTGTTAGGGACACAAGGCTGCGAAACGCACGGTGAGTATTGCAAGGCGGTTATTTGTCATTGTGGTGAGTTATCTGGCCTGATAGGCTACAGCTGGTATAATAGCAGCTTGTGTGTGCAACGGGCAGCTGGCTGTGAAAGCACAGGCAGCATAGCTGGATGCCCACATGAAGGGCTTGTTCACACTTCGCTAAATTTCTAACTCTTAACCAGGGGCGAACTGACAACTCATGGGGCCCCCGGGCAATAGGGGATCATGCGGCCCCTGTATCCTTGCCCAAACTCTAAAAAGCCTATGAAAAAGGTACCAGGGGCATCTCACTGGGCCCCCTACTAACCCCGAGCCCTCGGGCAGTGCCCAAGTTTCCAAATGGTCAGTCCGCCCCTGCTCTTAACAAATGCTCCTATAGTGTTAGTATGGGCATTAGACAGGAGTTAATGAGCTTTAGTATAAGCAGTAGACTGACATTTTACAGTTAAAAACACTATGTGTGGGTTTGATGCATTTTATAAGTGTTAAAAAATGCACCACAAACACCACATAATATAATAACCTGTAATGTTATTAACATGCTGCAACTGCACTGCAAACGCCCCATAAATGCCCGCCAGCGTGTTTGTGGAGTGTCACCATAGACTTGAATGGTAGGTGTTGAAAGGCTTCAAACTCCTCCAAACTTGACATGAGGCTTTCATTTTGAAATAACGCTAATGTTTCTTGTCTTGCTAATGTGAACAGCACTGTGTGCTGTCCATAGTATCATTTGCATAGGCATTGGAGAAGGATTAAAAACGCCCCTCAAATGCCTGCTTTCAATGCCAGTGTGAACTAGGATGTTGGTGCCAGAAACCTGAAGGCTAGGGAAGACTAGCCTGGGTGAGGACGGCGCTGTATCCCTGACCAGGTAAGTGTCCTTTTATTTAAAGTTACAATACAAACATTTCCCAGCAACACTTGCCAGCCAGTCTGCAAAACAACTGTAAGCCACAGTCCTGTGTCAAGGGTCCTCTGTAAACTGTGGACCTAACTCTAAAATTTACAAAGCCTCCATAGTAGGAGCACATGCATCAATGGAGAGATTAAGGACAGATGTGCCTGGAGGGGCCCATCCCTCCTTAAAGGTACAGGGATGTGTGTGACACCCAGCTATAGCAACATGACTGCAAAGGCATCCAGTGCATCCAAATTAGCCAACTGTACAAAAAAATGGCAAACTGTCCCAACCTATAACTAGCCTTAGCAGTAAGGTGCACATGGAAGGTCAATGCACATCAAAGCAAAGGATTTTGTTTGCAAATTTGCAAATACATGTGTAAGCCACAGTCCCACCTCAGGGCTCCTCTGTATACTGTGGACCTAACTCTAAAATGTCCAAAGTCTCCATAGTAGGGGCACATGTATCATTGGATAGGTTAATGGCAGGTGTGCCTGGAGGAGCCCATCCTTCCTTAAAGGTACAGGGACGCACGACACCCAGCTATAGCAAAATGATAACAAAGGCATCCAGTGCATCCCTGAATCAAAACTAGCCAACTGAAGAAAGAAATGGCAACTGTCCCAACCTATAACCAGCCTTAGCAGTAAGATGCACATGGAAGACCAATGAACATCACAAACAAAGGATTTCCCAGTAGGGTTGCCACCTCCTCCCTTTAAAACCGAACACATTAATTACACAGGTTATGTGGCTGATTGAGGTGTTAATTACTCACTTAGAGCCTTATCTGCATTAAATTAGCCTCAGAATCTGCGTAATTAATAGATGTTCGGTTTTAAAGGGATAAGGTGGCAACTTTTTCCCAGCACCACTTACCAGCCAGTCTGCAAAACAACCAATATAGCCCTATCTAACAGTTTGCGTTATAAACAGTGGGTTTTGTTTGCTAACATTTGCAAATACATGCGAAAGTTGCAGTCCCGCGTCAAAGGTCCTCTGTAAACTGCAAACCTAAAATTTCCAGAGCCACCACATTAGGAGGCTACTATGGAGCAATAGTATCCTTTTATTAAAAGCCAGTAGGAATTGCTGCTTACTTTTTTTTTTTATTTCTTTTTCCCAGAGGGAAGAAGCACTTTGAAAAACCTTCTACCTTTACAAGCAGTTACAACAATATTGTTTTTTTCTTTTGGAAAAGGTCTAAACCATATAGATAAAAAGTGATCATTAGCAGCATCCCTGTGAGTGTTCCAGTTTGCAAGTCGTGTCACTGTCATTTTTCTGGACAGCTTGGTCTTCATGTAGATGAGATAAAAAAGAAATAAAGGGATTCATATCCTGAATACTACCAAACCCCCTCTTTTTAGTCTAGTGGTCTTCTTCCTGCTCTATGGATACACCAAACCATCATGTTCACAATGAGACGTTTTCATTTCTTTGTAGAGAAAATCAAGGGAGCACTTGGAGCCTTATCTGCCGTATTAGCCTCAGAATCTGTGTAATTATTAGGTGTTCAGTTTTAAAGGGATGAGGTGGCAACCTTATTTCCAAGCAACACTTACCAGCCAGTCTGTAAAACAACCAATATAGCCCCATCTAGAAGTTTGCGTTAAAAACAGTGGGTTTTGTTTGCGCACATTTGCAAATACATGCGTAAGTCGCAGTCCCACGTCAAGGGTCCTCTGTATACTGCGGACCTAACTCTAAAATTTCCAGAGCCATCACAATAGGAGGCTACTATGGAGCAATAGTATCATTTTATTAAAAGTCAGCAGGATTTGTGGCTTACTTTTTTTTATTTGTTACAGACAGAAGGCCTCCGTTGATTTCTTTATAGAGAGAATCAACAGAGCACTTATGCAGGCCATACATGGTTCGAATTCCAAATGATTTTTCATACAAAAATTGAAACATCGTTCATTCTGTAATCTGATCGCTTGTTTTTCACAAATTTTCCAGCATGCCTGATAAACAAAATAGGGAGGAACCACGAAAATCGGCTGATGCCAT